ACCTACCCTTCAAGTAGAATGAATAATGCGCGGCGTATATTGGTTTAGTGTTCCTGACTGCTAGTTTCGTAGCATTCTAGTTAGTAGTTAGTTTCGAAGAATCCCAACTAGTACAAACAATATTTTTATTATGCAAGTTCTGTGTCCTGATGTAAGTTATCTATTATATTTACGCATATAACATAGCTGTATACGTGAATTTATGAGCAGCCTCCTTACTATAGTACAAACAAGAAATTCGGATGTTTAAAAAATGAATAAAAAACCTTGTTTTCATTTAAAAAAAATACAAATTGCCCACTTACAATAATTACTTTCTTTTTGCGAGACTAGTATCTGTGGTAGATAACACAATATAAAAAAACTAACACAAGAAAAAGACAGTATAGAGCTCAAACATGGTATATATGCTGTAATTTTCTAAGGAGTTTGCTATCCCGCAGACTACTTGATGCAGCAACAAGTTCCAGGTTACCATGTCGTGGAAATACTATCAAAGAACAAGTATACCAAATTTCAGATCAACCGGACCTGTGGATTTTAGTGTGATCCTTTCATCACCTAGGAAGTGAGCTAAAGATCTTCAAATATCTTAATTTTATAAGAATAATAATATATATAATTTAGACTTGCAACGAATAGTATATTCGGCAGTATACCGAATACCGAATATTCGGCGAGGCCCCTGACCGAATAGCCGAATATTAGGCAAAAGTATTCGGCTGGATTTTAGCGCCAAAAATTTGCTCTGCGCGGTATATTGCTAACGCACTGCATGTTTCGACAAGTGCATTTCGTGGATATCGTATTACGTTAAGTACAGTTTATTGTGCTCTCTTAGTTTGATCTGTTTGTAAGTGTGATAGTGTGAAATTTAACAAATAAACAATTAAATAATTACGAACGTACTTTAATATTAAAAAAGTCGATTATGGCCTTTAAAAAAAAATCGCCTATATGGGCATACTTCGAGGATGATGTAAATGATCCAAAAAGTGCCGTGTGTAAACTGTGCGAAATAAAAATTTCTCGTGGTGGCGTTGGAAGAAAGGCGACAACATCGGGAATGTTAAATCATTTAAAAAATAAACACAATGAAGACTATCATAAGTTGGTACCCACGTTCCCTAAGGGGCAAGAAACTACAAATCAAGATACGAATGTAAGTAATAAACCTTCAACGTCAAAAAACAATTAACTCTTGAAAAATGTGCAGAAATTAATAAACTATGGGATATTAATGACCCCAAGGCAAAAAAGTACCATGTGTTAATTGCTGAAATGATCGCACTTGATAATGAGGCAGTAAATATAGTAGAAAGGGCTGGTTTTAGAAGACTGATTAATAGCGCTTTGCCGCGATACACTATACCAAGTCGTCCTTACTTTTCAGACAATGTGATACCAGAAATTTATCGTAAAGTGGTTGAGAAAATTAAAAGTTTACTTTCAGAGACAGATTATATTTCCGTAACGACCGACATGTGGACGTGCTTGCATAATCATAACAGTTTTTTTAAGTTTTACTGCACATTTTATTGACCGCCAATTCAACCTCAAACATGTAGTATTGAGCATCAAGCATTTTGAGGGACAACACACAGCAACGAATATAGCTATGAGTTTACAAGAAATTGCAAATTTGTTGGACATTCGTGAAAAAATTCATATTGTTATTCATGATAATGGACGAAACATAGTAAAAGCTGTTAGTGATGCAGAGTTGGCCTCAGCACGTTGTTTCATTCATACTATTCAATTGATTGTCAATGATTGTCTAAAGGTTCAGTTAGATGTGACTCAAATGATAGCTACAGGTAGAAAAATCGTAACTCATTTTAATCATTCAGGTACTGCACAAGAAAAACTGCATTCTGTCCAAAAAGATTTGGGTCTCCCTCAACATGAATTAGTCCAAGATGTTAGCACGCGTTGTAACTCTACATATTATATGCTCGAAAGGCTAATGCAACAAAAACGAGCCATTTCTGTCTATCTGACGGACTGTCATATTGCCAATTTGACTGCTGCACAGTGGGAGCTTTTGGAGCATCTTTTAAAATTATTGCAACCATTTGAGGAGATAACAAAACTTATAAGTTCCGGCTACGCTTGCATTTCTGAAATTATTCCGTATGTTGCTACCTTAATGCGATATTACAATAAAATGAGCACGTCAAAAGAGCTAACACCCAAATTAAGCCAGGCAATACTCGTCATACAACAAGGGTTACAAGAACGATTTGAAGACATTACAACGAGTAAAAATCATTTGGTTGCTACCTTTCTCGATCCAAGATTTAAAATGAATGTTTTCACCAATCAACTGCAAAAAGAAAAAGTGAAGCAGTATGTATTAATCGATAGCATAAAAATGAACTGTGAAGAAACAAGCGACGATAGCGTGAGTTCGTCCCCTACTTTGGCCAAGAGAATGAGAACTGAAGAGCAAAGTCTAAATCAGACTATTCACTCAACTTTTATGGATTGCTTCGAAGAGCTTATAGCAGAAAAAAGCACAGCTTCTGGAAACACATCAACAGAAAAAAATGCAGTTTCAACAGAAATGGTTCTTTTCTTAAATATTAGTAATATATCACGTCATGACAACCCGTATACATGGTGGCAAGCAAGGTTGATTAAGATTGCAGCAAAATATTTGTCGGCGCCAGGAAGTAGTGTTTATTCAGAGCGCCTTTTCTCTGAAGTTGGGATGGTCTACGAGAAAAAAGAAGTAAACTACTTCCTAAAAATGCAGAAAAGTTAGTCCTTCAGCCCCATAACCTTCCCCTTCTAAATTTTGATTATGAAAATATAGAAATATAGCATAGAAAAATTCTTAACTTGTTTAATACAGAAAATGATTAAATTATGTACCTGTTTTATGTACCAATGACTACTTAATAAATGATTATAAAAGAAATGAGAACCTTACCCTTCTAAATTTTGATTACCACAATAATTCAAATACATAGAATCCTCTATTTTTCCAATTCAGAAGATGATTATATACCTGTGTTATGCACCAATGACTACTTAAATGATTATAACAGAAATGAAAATATGAATATATACGTAATCAATCGATTTTAATTTTTCATTTTACCAATTATTTCTCTATGACAAAATATATTATTTAAGTATTCGGTATTCGGCCGAATAATATGTAGATATTCGGTATTCGGCCGAATATAATAAAAGCAGCCGAATAGGCCGAATACCGAATAGTAACCGAATATTCGTTGCAAGTCTAATATAATTATAAGAATAATAGATAATCTTAATTTTATCTTATACCTAAGAACCATCTCGATCACATCGGCTTTCGAAGAAAAAAACCACATCGAAATTAGTCCATCTGTTCGGGAGCTATGATGCCTCTGTGGCATCATACAGGCAGATAGTGTACAGGTTAAACTTATAACACCCCTCGTTTTCCGTTAGTTAAAAACGATCACCACGATCTCTTTTGGAATTCTGAGCAACCAGCAACAGCTCATTGGTCATAACGTTATGAGTGCAGTAAAAACTATTGCGATTTGGTAAATTGGAAATAGGTTTCTAGTCTTATAATTTGTAATGAAAATGGAAGTAGGTATAATATCGTTTATCAAAATTCGTAATTTGACAGAACAAAAATCATTTTTTATGAAACAACAATCTTGTTAAGAGAGAAGTTATTTTGGGTAGATTTTTACTTCCATGTCTTTATTAAACCGCCCATGGTTTGGCCCACGCACATTAAAGTTAAATAGGTACTCAAGGCGAAAAAAAAAACAGTCCAAAATGGTTTATTTTACTAAATGGCATAGTCTACATTTATGGGTTTACATACATAATTATAATTACGAACAACATTTCCGAAATTGGGAATTAAATACCCAGATTTTATCCAATTTTAATTTTCGTTTTATTATTTTATTTTATTTGAGTACATTTAAAAATATTCTATATCAAATATGTACTTACTTGTATTCACGCCAATGCGAAGCAGGGGCGAATCGCTAGTTTGATAATAAATTTCTGTTTTTTTTTGTAATAAAACCTCAGACTGTATTGAATTTCTTTGTTAGATTCACTGGAAATGGCGGGAAAGTGTTCTTTACTTTTTATTTTTCTTAATGTTCTATATTTTTTATGCTAAAACCAGCCACATACAAACAGTAAAACCAAAGAGATTTTTCTTCAATTTTATACAAACAAAATACAAAAAGACTTTTGCCCCGATCTTTATATACAGGATTATTGGGTAGGTCGACCTAGATACTTTACTATAAAACACCATATCCTAAACCTAACCATTTTCTAGAAATAGGACTTTCCGGCGAAATTTCGAAAATTTTTATAAAAAATCTTTTAAGTCCAATATTTTGAAAATGGATAGGTTTGGGATATGGTATTTCATAGTGAAATCTATTAATAATAATGGCCTCTACAACCCCTTAACGTATCTAGGTCGACTGAACTAGTAACCCTGTATATACTACATATACACATATATAGGAGTATATCTAAGTATTGTTATATTATATGTATACACAAAAATTTACCTTTAAAGCTATTAAATATACTTATTTTAATTGCTTTATTTTGAATTATTTCTTAGTGAAAATTTTTATAGTAAATAATGTAACACGATATATAAGGGCAAATAAAGACGCCACAAATAAACCCTAATCAAAAATAGGTAAATACATTTCTTGCAAAGTTTTAACACGGATTAAATACATGAAAGTAGTAAAAGGGCGACATCAAGTAATATCGACATGGGGCCCGTTCTCAGCTAATGCGGCACTTGTAGGACTTCAATTAGTTTCTATTGACATAGTTCATCGGATGGAGCCGTGCCCATCATACATTCAACATATTTACTTTACACCGTACTCACTTTTTACAAGTAGAAAAAAAACGATTAGAGTCTCTGATCTACAAAATTATTCCTTCGACAATTTCGGACAGGAAAATTTGAAATTCTAAGTGCGTAATGATTCGAAAATTAAATGAAAAGTAAATTTGAAAGATTGAAATCAAACATCCTAAGAAAATCAGAGAAGATGTTTAACTTGTACCAGCACATGAAATCTAACAGTGAAGGAAAGGAGCAGAAGGAGGCAGAGACTACAGGGCATGACAGGTTCTATCAAGAACGCCCAAGAACGAGTTACAGAAAGAAAAAACGCCATGGTGCTTGTAGAAGGGCTCAATCTGCTGCTGAACTCAATCCAGAGTCTATAGCAGCTGCGAATAAAAGGAATGCGTTTCGAATACGTTCTGTTTCTACGGATAGAGAGGAAAGCGAAGGTGAGTTGCAATATTTTGACTATTTCCTATGAGTCCTTCCTATGAGGTATTTTGTAATAGGTTCTCGTTTAACACGTATATAGTAAAAATGTGTTGATAGTATGTATATTTGCATCCTAAAATGTGCGTTTCAAATTCAAATTTTAAATCGTAATTAAAAAATGTAAACGTGTTTTTACAACAATAAAAGGTTTATAAAAATGTGAAAGCTTTGAGTATAAGTAATTTTGCTAGTCCTATCTTTATTGCAACCATTTATTTTTATTGTTTTTATGTTTTTACTCTTAGTTTATATATTTTTCCATTGGCTTTTGCTCGCTAACGCAAGACGCGGGGAAACAGGACATCATCGAGCGCGTGTAGTTTAAGTATTTGCCTTTTTTGTAGATAGACCTTTTTCTTTATGTTAGACAAACGTTTCACCAAAGGAGATCATTGCAGGTAACTTCAAAACCTCGTGACACACAGCTCACAGTTTTTTATGACAAAACGGCTGCCTGCTCCCGACATTCCCGCTTTGTCTTTTACTCATACATTTCCATCACTTGGAGAGGCTATCCTTGGCAACAAAGTATCCAAATGTTGCCACAATCGAAATCCTTGAATAAAGTTATTTTCTATCCTAAATTGTTAAGTCCTTGTATAATAATATTAATCAATCAATAATAGCCTTTAGTAGTCCACTTCTGGACATAGGTCTCTCTATAGAAAGAAAGTTTGGGTCTACTAAGAGTATACCACACTGGTAAACTGATTGGTATAAGGTTTGTTTGAGGTTCTCCTTTTTTACGGATAGACGTGTTATTAATAAATGAATTTTCGAAAATATTTAGAAGAGAATTCGGAGCGCACACCACTGGTGGCGCAGAAGATCGACTCGTTGGCGAAGCTACTGTTTAACAAGTCGCTGATGGGTTCCTCATCTGGCAAGTCTTCGCCTATGGAGCCACCTGCTTCTCCGAAGTAAGAATCGCTTGTTGTATTTTTATATTGAATTCATATAATGCATGGGGCATTGAATTATCGTGCAGGAGTTTTTAAGCTATAAGTACGTTTTTGGTTTGTTTGTCCATTTTCTTATCATTACTTTTGCCCGAGTTTTAATGTCAATCATATTTGTATAATGACCATACAACGCTTATAATAAATGAATAATTATAATGCCTACAAGTCTTTATCATTATTCGTATAAGTATCCTTTTTTTTTGCTATATGTAGGTGTGAACAATCGATGGAGAGTTCCGCCGCTTTGGCCATCTGCACAGAGTATCTGTCACAATCCAACAGGTAAGCTTAGTAAGAAAATATCCCAATCAATCATGTTGTTTTATATCGTTATACCTATCAGAGAACATGTAACTGACAAGAATTTGCCGATTAGGTCGCAGATCCATCGTAACTTAGTATTTATAATTTATGATATCAGTAACGATTTTGTGGGTATCGAAACAATCAGTTTTCAACTCCTTTTATATTAAAATGGTGTATGCAGCTGACAGATTATATTTGCGTTTAAACTTTAGCAGCCTTACACAAAAAATAGGACCGTCTCATAAGAAAAGCAATCTTTCTTTTCCTTAACCTCCGTATGGGTTTACATCAATTCTACCTTAAAGATTTAATTTACCATCAAGTTTGAAATAGTACCAACCTTGAACTAAAGAAATCATACTCAACCTACATAACCTAAAAACTACATATTAACTCTTTCGTTTATCGTAAAAATCAAAACTTTTCATCAAGCAAACCGTATGTTTTATTTTCTGTTAGTACAAGAAAGCTTGTGATATCAGATACTGACCGCATCTAAAGCTAGCATCTAAGTGCTTATTGCATTTTCAGATATAATTTGTTATCCGCCCTGTCTGCCATTGGAGCAAGATCAAGCAAACACTGGTTTGCCATTCACGACAACTCCATCAAAACCGACAGGCTCTTGACGTTGGTAAGTGCCGCAAACGTAAGGCCAGAAAAAGCTTTAGGAAAATATGTGATGGCTTTTGATCAGAACATGATAAAGACTAAAACAAACGTGGGTGCGAACTCCAGACGCAGATGGAGCGGTAACAGTGCGCTCTAGAGCTGTTATTTCTTTTTAAAGACAACCCTCGCACTTAGAATATATCCTGTGTAACGAGGGACTTTACAAACATATAAGAAACGGACACAAAGACACCCACACAACAATTTATGGATCACACATAATGTTGTTCCGTGTAAGGATCGGGCCCACAAAACTCAGCGCATGAGGAAGCGGCTAGGTGACTGCTTAAACCACTACATCATCCGTGCAGTCACAGGGTTTTCTTTGTGTCCGCTACTTCTAAATTTAATTTAATAACACAGTATTTATTTCAGATGCCATTAACGAGTAAGTGTCCAATAGAACAGGGCGAACGATCTAAAACTCTAACCATGGAACTATTTCGCGCCCTACATCATCCTTACATATACCCTGTGTTGGATCTGGAACTGTGCAACGGTCATGCACTGACCGTGCTGCCCTTCAACTCTAGAGGAAGCTTGAAGGACCTAATTTACAAGGTGCGTTCCATCTTTACAATAGAAATGACTTGTGAACTGTGGGTCCTGGAGTAAGTAATGATGAAGAATTGGAAGAATTAACCTGCTTACTACGAAATGTGCATGTGTGCCTATTGTAAATATGAGAATTATAAAAAAAAAACAATTGCCTATATCTTTAGTAGACGAAACAGATTATGTGTCTTGTCGTTAAGCCAAAAGGCTCACGAGTTAAGGCTGTCATGTAATCTTTGTAGCACGAGTCAGATAATTTACAGTATTGAAAAGCACGTTTTTATTCAGTGGGAATTTTGTATTTAATATTATTGTTTCTTTAAAATTCTTTATTGTCTGCTTAAGCACCTATTATTTCTAACAGAGCACATGGAACGACGAATACAGCCGCAAGTATGGGTGTGTGGGTACTGGTCTTCCAGCTTGGCAGGTAGCGAGGTTCGGCCGCCAGATGCTCGAAGGGTTATTATTTCTGAAGGAAAAGGGTTTTCCGCCCTTTAGGCATTTGCACTCGGGAAATGTCGTCGTGCAGAATGGTGTAGCGCGGTGAGTAAGAAGCCCACAAGGCTTTAAGGTGCTAATTCTTCCTTACCAGGGACTTCCTTTCTTACCAGGGACTTCCTTTCTTACCAGGGACTTCCTTTCTAGGGTATACCTGGTTCCCCGGCTATTAGTACCCGAGACGTCGTGCGGTTTTAGTCGGTTCGAGTCCGACATGCCACCGACGGTGGTATCCGAGGGGATTAACGGAAAAAAAAGGTGCTAATTCTTCCTAAATAACTTCCAAAACAGTGATCGAAAACATTACTCCATCAAAGAAATATCTGTGCACTACTTCGCAAACCTGTGTTTTAACACATTTTTTACTGAACTTTGGCTTTAAATAAATAATAAACGTACCATAAATAGCAGCATGTGAATCGAAATCTCTAAGAATTTCGGCAATTATTTATTTTTAATTAAAAATAGTAACAGAGGCATTATAACTTCACAAATAAAGACATATATATTATAATGGTCAGGCAGAGTAAACTTCTTAAAGAGATAATTGGTGCAGTGTTCAATTCTTCAGTTTAGTTTTTTTTTAGAATTACTAGTAGATAACTAACGTAACGTAAAGTCCGTATGGTGACTTATTAAGAATACAGAGTTTCACCACCCCTATTCATCCCAAGGTTATCGTGAGAGCCGACTGAGGGAACAAACTACGTAGAGCATCAGCACTGCAAAGAGAAGGAGAACTTGAACCAAACCCTATACCAACCCGTCTGGCCAGCGTGGTATAGTAGGCCCAAAACCTCCTTTCTAAGGAGAGGTTTGTGTCCAGCAGTGGACTATTAAAGGCTGTTGATGATTGTGATGAACTAAAGTTAATTATTTTCATGAATAAAATTACTTTCATAGGATATGCGGTCTAGAGAATACTTTGATCGGTGCCCTACCGCGATGTCCCATCGCCCTAGCAGCACAGCTGGAGCACGTGGAAACCTTATCTCTGGGTAACGTGCTTTTCGAGATGTGCGCCGGCGCAGAGATTGATCTATCGCTTTTACCTGATTTGTTACCTAACTATCCTAACGTAAGTCTTTTCAACACTTATTTTTATTTATTATTATTTATTAATCCATCCATTTAAATTATACGTTTGATATCAGACAAGTTATTTCTTTCCTTTTTTGACATTTATGTCAAGTGGTTTCTGTCACAAACACAGTAGATGTAATCTGTGACTTTGATATTGTTACAAGGGATTGGAGATGGAATTTTCACAGTCTTGATAATATCTTGAAATATTAATGAGCACTTAACTTTCTGCTGTTAGACTTCATGCAAATTTTCAGTTCAAATGCATCCACCAAAGAGTTCCACTAAGTTATTGTATGTTTAATAATCAGAATCTTAACACCAACTTCAACTCGTACACATAAGAACTCATCAAAACGACTTATATGACTCAAAACCAACGGATGTGCTAAGAAACACTGAAGAATCAAGCCAGGTTATGGTTAGATTAGAAAGGTGGTATAATACTTTGTTTATATTAAGGTGGTAGAGCCAGACCAAGATTAAAGAGAGGGGTACTATGTTTATGTTCAGGTGGTAGAGATAATAGAACAGATCTTCGGTCCACGCACGCCGACTCTCCATGAACTGCTGTTGTGTGAACTATTCAGGAAGATTGATCTGCGTGAGATGAAGGGCTCGTGTTTACCGGTAAGTGATGTTTAATGTTATGTTGCAATAATAAATTAGAGGTTTCATTGATCCTGTACGCATTTAACGTCAAATTTTGTAACAGATAGTTAAAATAGCTTTCCATACAACCATTCATCCCCTATTTTACTCCCCTCATGGGTGAAATTTCTGAAAATTCTTTGTGAGTTGGTGCTTCTAACAAAAAAAGCATCAGGTGCCAAAATTTCAATTATGTAGCCCCAGCGGTTTAGCAGAATTCGTAGTCACATAATTAAATCTTAATTGATGTTTTGAGCAGAACTTCAACCAACGTCTGTCACGTTCATGCCTGTCCTTGCTGGGCGAGGTGGCTCGAAGATCTCCGGGCTCTCCGCGGACGCGCACCCCGCCGCGACGTTCGGGGCCGGCGTCCCCTGTTTCACCAGCCACTCCACCGCTACGAAGGTACGAAGAACACCTCATTTCATAGAAATGTTATAAGGTCATGGTACAATTAACAATTCGCTTCATGAAAATAATGAATAATGGAGTTAAATTCTTACGCCAAACTACTGTACGTTACGTAACTACGTTACGTTACGTTCTGTAACTTCAATCTTCGCACTTAGTCTTTATTTCCTTGGCTTGTTTAAACCTTTCTTTCACTTCGCTATTGTACCTTAACACCGTGAGACATTACAATCTTTTGTAACAACGAACCGCTGTTTTATTGCGAATAGATCGCCTACAGTACTATTACTTATGTGTGAACACGGCTCGAAGGACCAAAGAATGAAATATTATTATTAAATTACTAGCTGTACCTGTGCTGTGCGCATTGCGGTTTCATTGATGAGAAATGTGGACTAGATTAGATGCAGCATTTATAGAACGAACTAGTTTTAGAATAAAAATAATATTTTGCGAACACAATGTTTTAGTTTCAACAAATTAATACTGTTACAGGAGGTACTTCCCATTGGAGCAGGATTTTACAGAAAACTGGCAGTGGTAACTCATTAATTTGTTTGTTAAAATTGATTTTGAAATAAAAAAGATTACTCCGTTATATCCATTTTTTATTTTGTCTCCAGCTACATCTTGTTTTAGTCAGGAAAAAATACTTTTTAGTTAGTACAGGACTTCAAGAATGCGTATATAGAGAATCACTGTCAAGTTTACCATTCTTATTACTTCTTTATCGCGATAGTAGTCTTTGTTCTTCCGCAAGAATCCTTTGATTCACTGATACTGATTTTAATAAAAAAAAATATTATTTTGTTTCAAAAAATCATTAAAATCGCTTTGGAGGTTTAGTCCTAAAAGCGTAACAGACAGAGTTACTTTCAGATTTGTAATATTAGTAGGGATTAGTATTAATTTATTTTGTCTGTCCTTGATCGCCGGTCAGTTGTTTTGTCAGTTGGTTGTTGGTCGTGATCGTCTAGTGACCTCTTTAAACACAGGACTGTAAGGGATGGAGGATAGAGGATGGAAGGATGTACGGGTCGGCATTTTTTATTATAAAAAGATTATTTTTGACTAATTAATCTTAGACCTAATCTTGGCCAGTGCTCTGTGGGGCAGGCTGAAGTGAGAGGGAGGTGCGGTAGTCCTGATGATGAATTCTTTTGTTTTTGCACAAGCGCCTTTAACTGTCTCAGATTTCTAAAATATATTTTTAGAACTGTTTCTCAAACAAAAAAATATTGTTATCGGGATCGAAGATCGACTGATTAAATAAATAATTACTTAAATAGAATCTCTTTTGTGTACATTTAAAATACAGGCACTTTTTCATCATTTCAATCCTTAATTACATGACAGGTCAATGACAATCCTAAATTACAATAATCACATCCAACCAACCACGAAAAAACCCACAAAAACAAAATCAAATTTTAATGGGCATTAAAATATACATTACATATTTATACATATTTAGACATAGTGTTAAAAAAATAGTCTTATGTTAAGAAAACTAGAATAAGTACTGCATCATACAAAAATACCGCAGTCAACCAAATCTGAACAATGGCAGCACCGGCGAAACCGGGAAAAGAGGCAGTCAAACCAAAAACTATCCCTGGATGGTTAAATTTTGTTATAGGAGGCGCAAGCGGGTAAGAATGTTTCTAGAGCCTTTTGATAGTACAGTGCCACCTTCAATCGGTGACTCTGTAATCACCAACCACTGCATTTAGTAACCATTAAGTTCAGCATTGAATATAATATGATTATCATTGTAGCTAGTTTACAATGTGAAGTTCAGTAGCAGTTTGAAAACAGTCTTGGTTAAGGTGTTAAAAATACTTAGTTGTTACTACATAAGTAGGTACCACCACACACTGCCACACTCTATTGACTTGAGGTGACCGGTTGGTTTAGTGATTAACAGTCAGGAACACTAAACCGCTAAGGTATAGACCGTGGATTAAATTCCTACCCAGGACCAGGATACAGAATATATGTGTTTAGAAATACATATATTAGCTGTACCCTTCCAAGTTTCGCTGTGGCACATTGTGTATAGCTTGGATTGGATTGCATATTGTGTCAAAATTTCAATTATGGCTCAATCGGTGCAGAACTTTTTGAGCTTTAAAAGCGTACACAAACCAACATAACATTTGATATATATAGATACGTATATTGTTGTATTAGTATAGTAAAATAATATACGTATCGAATCGTATCCTTATCAGTTATATTCTAAATTTTATGACACTAATGTAACCTGTGTAGCCTTAGCTATCACTTCGTCGACTTCATCGTATTTTGTGAGCCCCCTTTGAACCTTTTGCAAGCAATGGCGGCACTTTTCCTCTGAAAATTCTCACTCAATCCAACGCATTGTAACCCCCAAATAACTTCATTTAAAGGAAGACACCTGTATTATCAGCGCCATTGTATTGTGCTTATTGCAATATAATAGCATAAATCTCCTACTCTATTTTCTCAAAAAATTGTAAATATGGATGTAAATATCCAATATCAATGATTAAATAAATATAAAAACACGAAAATTATTATCACATGTTAATAGCACAAGAAACATTTACATGATTTTTGTTGTAAGAAGTACTTGATATTTATTTGACTTATGTCAAAATGATTAAAAGTACAAAATTTAAACAAAAAAATTAAAGATTTTTATTTTACTAATGCGTGCGTGTGTGTGTGTGTTTATGTATGTAGATTAATTATGTAACTCCTGTCAACAGCATGATGGGCATAGCAATAGTCCAGCCTATGGATTTGCTTAAAACTCGAATGCAGCTTTTGGGCAAAGATTCCAAAAATACGAACCTGTTGAAGGTGGCTTCGGGCATTATAAAAAAGGAAGGCATCCTTGGTTTCTATAATGGCCTGAGCGCTGCGCTGTTCAGACAGGCCACCTACACAACTGGTCGACTTGGGAGTTTTAATGCTCTCTTTGATATGTACAAAGAGTAAGTATACTTTCACGTTTTGTTATTTTTAATAGAAAAAACGTAGAAGTAGAAATAACGACCGTCGCTAGCGATAACATACGCAATAGTTTTTTTAAGTGAAACACGAGTCAGAGCGGCTGATGGCGTTGCGACGCTGTTTGAAGCTTGTTTACAAGTAGAGCAAATCTACAGTAAATCCGTATTCTGTATTGGTATCAGTATTTTTGGAACGAAGTTCCTTATCGCGCGTTGTGAAAGGGGGCTAGACGGAAAAAAATCTCACGAAAAGTTGTAACGACACTTTTTATTTTGAATTGTCACTTGTCAGTCATTCAGCGCCATCTATCGAATAGATAGGAAATCATTACTTTTTGATCATCAGTTTTACTCGATCGTCACAACTTCGTTCCTATCTGGTGTACCACGACACCACACGGCTTTTTTTTCAAATTCCGCGATTTGCGGTAAAAAGCAACAAAAGAATTCCTCAACATTAAGCATTGCTCAGCATTTTGTACGAGAAGTATGACTCTCCCACGGTATAATTCAAAGAAAGAAACTTCTTAAAAAAACACCACACGAGCGGAAGGGTGCTTTAAGTAAAAAAGGTAAATGTTGGTTGAATAATCACTATAAGTAACTCGAAGCAAAATATGTTGTCTTCATGAAAGCATCGATTTTGGAAAACCATCCGGCTGCACTTTATAAACTTTACTTTCTGAACATTGTCACATTAGATTCATAGTTGATTGATCTCGCAAGTCGATATTTTACGCAGTAATTTGGGAATACATGTCAAATCGTTAGAACAACCAAAAAAAATTGGTCGTGTGTTTTTAATTATTTTACACTTCGCACTATTGCAATGTGAATACTAATAATATAGTGTAAGTGTAGAGTAATTAATTTTATTATTATTATTATGATAAGACTATACTACAGGACATCTTTATAGACAATATTTATAGGCCCGTTCCGCTACATCCGTCCGCTGTCGCAGTGACGGCCGCTTTTCCCCCCCATTTTAAATCTCAGATATTTTCATTGAGAGAATGCACGATTTTCTCTACTATAATATGCATGTATAATACATATAAACCCTCCTCTTGAAACAATCTTTCTATTACGTATAATCCGCTTCAAAAGATCTAAGCGTACAAGAAAAAAACCGACTTAATTTTATATTGTAAAAGGATAAATATTGCGTATGGTGGTTGTCTCGTCTCTGTCTGGTCAATGACCTTGCGTTTTGATATTTCAAATTTGCCTCGTGTTTTCTCCACGTTTAAATAATTATTGCCGATAGTTTTAAGATTCTAAAATAGAAAATAATATTATAGGTGGGATTCTATAGCAATAAAACTACAAATAACCGTAATTAACGTATATTATGCATATTCCCAATTAGAAAAACCTTTATTTGTAATCGTATTTTTAAACGTATTTTTTTATCATGGTGCGATTTGTTTTAGATCCAATGGTGTACCTCCATTTCCGGTAAAAGTTGCATTGGGCATGCTGGCTGGCGGTATCGGTGCTTTCGTTGGTACTCCAGCGGAGGTGGCACTTATTCGAATGACAGCTGACGGCCGGTTACCTCCAGAAAAGCGAAGGAACTACCGACACGTATTTGACGCTCTTATAAAGTAAGATATATTCATATTAATAAATTAAAATTTTTCATGTCCCCATATATGTTGAATTATTTATTAAAATGTAAGAAATCGTCCACTTCTCATAGCTTTGCGTTGTGTTGATCGACAAAATCAAACGCTTACCAATTCTAAAATCCTGGGTTCATCGAAATATTGAAAAAAATCGAGGTAAAAGGAGATTGCGATTACTATATCCCCGTATTCAACACTTTTCAAAAGAAGCAAAATGAAAGAAACGGCAAAATATCGAATTATATTACAATACTTAAAAATCTTTGATTCTATAATCATCTGAGTGTAAAATAATAATTATAACTTGATACATTTCAAACACCACCTTCTGATTCCAAACTTAGCAAGGCCTGTATAGCCAGAATACTGATAAACATACTTATATACTCCTACGTATTAACATATTATAAATAATTTACACCCATACAGAATAAATGATCGTGCAACATGACAATTGCCGTCTTAGATGAGAATCAAGCCCACTACCTATGTCTAGTCATCCTCATTGCTTATTGTGAAATGTTTTATTTTTAGGATATTAGGCACAGAAGGAATTGGAGGATTATTTAGCGGCGTAGGAGCCACGATCAGCAGAGCCGTGGTCGTTAATGGCGCACAGCTTGGCTCTTACACACAGGTGTCCGTCCCTTTTTTCTTTACTTTTTATAATTGTGTCTATCCCTCTAGTGATGGATTAATAATACAGAGTGTTACCACCCCTATTCCCCCTTGGGTGTCGTAAGAGCCGACTAAGGGATTAAACTACGCAGGACAACAGCACTGCAATTCGTCTGGCCAGCGTGGTATAGTAGGCCAAAACCTTCTTTTTAAAGAGAGGCCTATGTTCAGCAGTGGACTAGTAAAGGCTGTTGATGAATGGTATAGGGTACAAACGACAAAACTGGTCACCTGATGCAAAGTGACTACCGCCGTCCATGGTCCTCTAACTCAGGAGACATAATATACCTTAGAGTGAGTTAGAATGGAGGATTGAATCTCTGGTAACGTCACGATGTTGAAAAAGTAACGTAATAATTGTATAACACCGGTTTTCTGTGAGGCCGCTGTATAACTCAGGTTGGGACAGTCGTTTATGCCAAAGTAATTTGCTTTAAAGAAGATAAAATTTTGCTTTAAAGGCACGTCAGCTATTGGTGCCGCATTTGCCGGATGGATTACCGCTGCATTTTGTATCGGCCATGATCTCCGGATTCGTTACTTCAGTCTGCTCTTTACCCGTGGATATTGTCAAAACAAGGTATGTTGGAGTTGTCATATTTAAGCGAGATTGAGTTAAATAACGGCATCTCGTGAACTTATGTATTTTGAAAAGTGTAAGTGCTTTATGTCTTAGTGGTCCATTGTTCAGATTTCAGTACTTGCAAATAAATATCTAATAAAGTTTACCAGCCATTATAAGCTCCTAACTTAATAAGTACCAAGCGTAAATAATATATTTTGTAAATAGGTTTTTTTGCTTTATCGTTGATTTTTTTCACTTTTTATTTAGTTTCACTAAAGAACCGAAAATGAACAGTTACGAACCTAAAAAGTGTAAAGATTAAACAAAAAGGATGTGTTGCCATTAACCGTTGATTTTTTTAACATTAAAAAAACAACAACAAAATAAAACTTCAAATTTCTAAACTTTCAATTTAATTTCATTCAATAACAGTAGATGATACCCGACGCAGGTATATACAACGGCAGAATTAGCGGAACACAAAAAAAAGGAAGAATTAATGTATTTTTTGCGTAACACTGGCCGGTCACTTATTTGAAAACGGAACATTAGTCGACACTCATTTTTTTCTTTCTTTTATTTAAATTTTTCATTCATACATCTCTATCGACTGCTTCGAAGTTGATTTTCTGTTTTCGTAATGTTCGTAAATTTCATTTGAAAAACATTGCATTGCAGTTTTATGAGGCTTTTGTGTTTTCTCGCATATTTATCAGTTACGCGCATCTAAGTATGCCTGATGTAACGCTATCAGAAATCATTAGGGCAGATGAAATGAGAAGAAATGGTCAATCCTAAAGATCGATTCCTATAAGACTTCGTCGATCGTTATCAACGATTCATCGTAGCATCCAATGGTACAGATTGTCGAATTCTCTAGTAACGAGGACAGGACAAGGCAGGAAAAGGTGTACTTCAAGTAGAGATGACCGTTTTCTATAACTTCAAGTTCGTTGGAACACGAGACTAACAGCGGTGCAGCCCCGAAATGTATTGGAGGAGGTTCGAGGAGTAAGATTGAGTGAGCGGACAGTTCGCAGAAGATTCAAAGAAGTCGTTATTCTCTCATTTGTGCCCGCCAAGCACCAAAACTTGAGAGACACCGCCGCACAAATCGACTTTAATTTGCTCGTGAACATCGTCGATACTTACGGTTTTACGGGAGCCCTAGAAGGGATTTTGGGATTAAATCGAGCCGGCAGATTAACATAGGAGGAATACCTAACACCTATGAGTAAAAAAAAACGATGGGCAGAAATACTCGATCGTGTAAGATTAAGGTAAGTTGAGTCAATTACATACAAATTAGTGTGTATTTAAAAAAATCTGACGATTTGAGCCTGACACAAAGCAGTGGGAGGGTCACAAAGTTAAAAAAAGAACATAACCTTGACATTTATTTTATTTCAGCGAACAATGAAAGAAACCTTTTTTAAATATCTAACAAATTTGTCGTTCCTTATTTGTCATCTCTTATAAAAAAAAAAAACAAACCGTCAGATTTAAAATGCATCGTCATGTCATTGTGAGTTTTTTTTTATTCATGTAAATAATCATAAAACACACATACATTAATAAAAATATGACAACCAGTTGGCATATGGGGTAAGATATTTGCCTGTCTTGTAAGTAGGTGAGTATATTATTTTAATACCTACTTAGCTCTGCTTTTTTTATATTGATAAAGTCAGTGACATACTTGTAAAAAGCTATTTCTAGAAATAAATGTGCAAATTAGTCCCACTTTACGGTATGTTATTTAACGAGGGTCCCAACTCAATTTTTTAAAACCAGCATTTCAATTAGAGTTCTTTAAGTTGAAGTTAATAATAATAATAATGTGATTACATGTAGATGATTCATATATTTTTTCAGATCAGAGCGGCCAACTTTTTATGTCAGGCCTGTCTCATGAGAGTTAACAGAGAATTAGCCTTAATAAAAATGGTGAAAAATTTAGGATTACATAATGTAGGAGGTAAGGTAAAAAAATATAGTTCCATCAGCACCATTTTAAACAATGTTCTAATTATAATTACATTCAATGATAATAAATGCATATAAATAATGTTCGTTGTTTTATTTCAATACAAAACAAACCTAAGTATAGCAACCAATGAATGACATGTTTTTTATGTATAGAACGCTGGAATTATATAGTACTTTTCATGTACTTTCCAAGTACATGAAAGTACCATATAATTCCAGCGTTGACCCAGGTGACACAGGTTGACACAGGTGTGGACCCTCGAACAGAAGCAAGTAGTATGTATTTTGACATGAACATAAAACCCTATAAATACATTCTAACCTATAAAGCACACCCTATAAAGCGCACCTGATATTATACATTTATAATAATGCAATAAAGATGTTATCGAACTGATAACTTTTTTTTAAACCTTTATAGATTTATTCATAATCTGATATGCTTCATGAAACTTTTTGATTTTTTAATTAGAAGGTATAAGCTTACAAATGACATTTATTTGATCTCCCTAGATTCTAAGGCACAGGTTCATACAATTTTTTGCCATCTCCTTTGTCAACGGTTTACCCTGTCCTCTTCTTAAATGTCCCCGTCGTTGATGCAGCAGTTATCGCAGCCCTATATTAATGTCAAATGCCGTGGTTTGTTTTTTTTTTACATGGACGGTTTTATACGGGCATTGTCGGAAAACTCCGGATATTCAATAAACATCTTTATTACGAGTATAATTATAGTTTGAAACATGACGAGCTATAAAGTTTGTTATTGCAACAGATTTTTTTGAAAATTGAGATGTAAATTGTGTCCGCTATTCCATAAAAGAAAACCCTTAAACCTATAAATCAACTAAGGGAAGGACTGACTTGTGTACTTTAAAGAGCAATTCCTGGAAACAAGCAGACCTCAATCTTGGAGTGGGAATAATTTTCCTCCTCCATTTTAGAAAAGCAGGCAACTCCAAGATTTCAGTTGTGCTTTTGCTAGAGGCCTGCCGGAAGCCAGAGATATTTATTACCCCTGACCGTGAATAAAACGAGATACCAGTGTACTACAACTCCCTCGTTCTCTTTCTGCTGTCGCTTTATTTAGTGTTTAAGTCCACTTAAGTTATTTAGGTTAGAGCCTTTAAGTTTTTTAATGGAATACGGGGCAAATGAAGGATACCTGCAACTCAGTAGACAAGTAGACATGGAAGTTATTGCTACTTTGAAATCATATTCATTTGATGAAATTATTGGTTTTTAATCACAGCGATTACACATGTGATTGTGATTTTGTCATAGACAAAGATAAATATCATTAAAGTCAATCAAAAATATTTTTATCAAAGATTCTTTTTTTTTATATTTAGACCTTTCGCGAGTCACTAGCGTAATAATAATAATTAAGTAGCAGTGGTTTTGTAAATCAGTCACAGATTTCTCACATGTGATTGTGATTTTATTCCATCCCCAGACACAAGTGCGTTGTCACCCTTTGAGCGAAACCCGGTGTTGAGTGAGGAGATAAAAGAGATGCCCTTACCTCCTCACTCAACACCGCTCAATTCTTTTAATATTAATGAGTGACAAGTGACATCATACGTGTTTTAAATTCTTTCAGGGTACAAAATGCAGGAAAAGGTGCGAGCCAGTTTGGAGTGTTGAGGGGTATTATCGCGAACGAAGGCGTAATGGCGTTATGGACGGGTTTACTGCCAACATATGCCAAGATAGGACCCCACACCGTGTTATGTTTCATATTCCTAGAACAACTAAATGCATTGTATTTCAAATACGGGTGAATTCATCAGTTGATAACTTGTTTCAGTCGCTGCTAAATGTTCACTGTGCTGGTGATCTGTTCTTATATCGCTCGTAGCTCGGGTATGTCCAAAAAAATACGTATTGTGTTAATATGCAATAAAAAAGGTAGGGGGCTCAGACCTACTGGGGACGTAAGATACAGACCTCCAGAAATCTGCATAATAAATATAAGAAACCTGTTGTCTCGTCGCTATAATCAGGGGTGAATCATCATCAACATCACAATACCATTGGTGATGACGACAACCACGCCGATTAAACTAACGAGAATTCTGTATACACAAATTTGCCGAAGTAAGGCATACAGAATCATATAAGTTATACAGTCTTCAGATGATGAAAGCACAATTTTGTCAGCAAGCATATCGCGAGTAACATTTCAACTGTACGTTATAGGACACAATTTTTTAATTTTAGTTTACATGTAATTTGTACAATTTTTAAATTATATTAATTTTGTTTATTCATTCTGATGACGTTTTTGTGTATGTTATTCCATTTCCTAATATTTTCCATCACCATCATGTTTTATTTGGAGTCAACGTAACGTTACAGAAAATTTTGGTTATTATCTTTCATGGCCTGCCTGACTCCAACCATCCTTGGTAATGTCATATTTTAAGACGAGACATAGACGTTAAAATAGGGTAAGGCAAATAGAACCGATAATGGAGCTAGGGTAAAGAAGGGCTTATGTTTAACTCGCCCTTTACACTTTTAATGTGAAATTTTAACCAAAAAATCTACATTTTGCTCCCCTATTAAAGTAAATGACTCGCAAAACTAATAACAGTTAACCCCAAAAATGGTAAATAATCACCAAAATTGTAACCAGATTTTACACGAATGTACAAATGTTACATTGACTGCACAGATGGCGTAGTGGTTTAAGCGGTCACCTCGCCGCTTCTTACTGCGCTGAGTGTTGTGGGTCCGATCCCCACATGGGACAATACTTTGTGTGATCCACAAATTGTTGTTCTGAGTCTGGGTGTCCTTTGTGTCCGTTTCATGTATGTTTGTAAAGTCCCCCGCGACAAACTATATATTCCTAGTGCGAGAGTTGGCTTTTTATAAAAAAGGGGTTCTTCGTTTCTGGGTAGTTTAAAAACAAATAACCAAAACCTAACCAAAGCTAGGCTGAGGCTAATTCTGTTGTTGACATCACTAAATTAAAATTTCTCTAAATTATCTTATTTAAGTGAAGCGATTTCCAAAATGGTATTCTGTTTGGTTGAGGCGAACGTCATGTTCATTATGGCAGCATTAACTTGAATCGACATCAAAGTTAAGTCTTACCGTTATACCGGTAGCTGGTAGTAAGACGTGGGGTGATTTTTGATCTTCGAGCTTAAGTTGTTTATTACACAAGACTGCATGGATTCCAGTGGACTAGTCCTATACCATTGTAGGTCACCGTATTGTCGTTCTCTACACACCGGTGCAGGGCCCGATTAACCATTAGGCAGACTAGGCAACTACCTACTGTTTAGGGGCCCTGCTTTTGCTGTTAGTTCCTGAGGAGTGACGCATCAGTCAGGTGATACTGCTGAGGCTATTACTCACAACCCTTCATCGAGTTACAAAGAGCTGAATCTTCATGAAAAGGGGCCCCGAGGATTACATTGCCTAAGGGCCTCGCTAATCCCGGCCCTGCCGATGTCGCGACTTAGATGACAGCTGTCGGATATACTACTATTGATAGATTGGTAGATAATTAATTATGATATTAATAAATAAAGGCAATTATAAACTCGATTGAATAAGATTTAATAAGATTTTAAGATTTGACTGCACAGATGGCGTAGTGGTTTAAGCGGTCACCTCGCCCCTTCTTACTGCGCTGAGTGTTGTGCGTCCGATCCCCACATGGGACAATACTTTGTGTGATTCACAAATTGTTGTTCTGAGTTTGAGTATTATTTGTGTCCGTTTCATGTATGTTTGTAAGTCCTCCGCGAGATAGGATATATTCCTAATGCGGGAGTTGTTTAAAAAAAAAAACAGATTTATCCAATTGTTGTGTCAAACACTGTATCACAGGTTCTATTTGGAGGAGGGTTATACGAGTATTAATAACAGGGTCATATTTATAAATAAAATTGATAGCAGTTTTACCGGATACCAAATATCCGGGTAATTTTGAAACTGGATAGTCGGATAAGTAGCCGCCGATTAACTACTTGCGTATTTATTGTCCTTCTTTTCGTGTACCTTCTAGGAAGGGCGGGGTGGGGGTGGTTTAAGGTTTTTTATAAAAGGCTTTAAATAATAAGTCCAACATGTGTTTAACAGCATTTATTAAGAGAGAAGAGTAGAGATATTTGCATTAACATTTTTACATAACAATAAAACATGCAAACACATTATGAAAAAAATTGGAAAAGGTTTAATGTCCATGCCTTCATGTTCGTTAAAGTTTATATTTTTTATTATATTCTGTCGACTTAACTAGGGAATCTAGTGTATTATTGTTTTAAAATTTAAACTTGATTTCAGAATTTTGAAGTTTTTATTGCAAATACTACTAAATATATATAGGTAATCCATAAATAATGACATATAATCTATAACTAAAGACGAAAAGCTTTTTATACTGATGCAGAAATATTTAATATAGATTTATTAATTTGCTGTAGACATTGTTTCATCACTACGTTCGCAACACTTTCTTTCGTGTAAAACAAAAATTATTTTAAGTCTGAATTTACCAAATAATATACCAATAAAATGAAATTATACAACATAATAATATAATATTAAGTTTTGTAACAAAGGGTCTTAAACTTTAATCTTACGAACTCGGGCATAATTACGTTCTTAATCAGCTGTCAAAATGAAAATAATAAAAATTATACACAATTACGAAAAAATTAAAAGACGGATGGTGAGACCAGGCGCTCCTTGGAGGAAGCCTTTGTTCAGTAGTGGCAATAGGCTGGTGATTATAAAAGAAAGTAGTACAGTCAATGACAAAAGAGGTTTACAAAATTCAAGGTTACAAAACAAGTTATATCGTTCAGCGAAAAATCGTTCCTTGTCAATGATTATATATTATAATACACATATTTATGCCTAAATACAGTCAATATGTTTAAGGGGTTCGAGTTAAATTTGTATCCGACTTTTGTCGTTGAATGTACTTTCTTACTTCCAGAGAATTTATCTCATAGAAGTATACGAATTTTAAATTAATTTTAAAAGACAATTTTTACAATATTTGTAAAAAATCACCTTACTTCTTTCTCACTTTATTTCTTTTGGAATCGATTGATCGAGAATGTATAATGATTATCAACTCAAGAATCGAATCAAATGCAAATATCGCACGTTTTATCCATATCATTATCCAATTGTCCAATAAATCGTGCCATAAGTACTTAGGAATGGAATTCCCTAGAATTAAGTAGTATTACAATCATTTTATGCGTCTAAAGATACTTTAATATAAGTCCTAGCTGCCTATAAAAATGTCGAAACAAATTAATATATAATTAATTATGCAAAAACTTGCATAATATTAAATAAAAGCAACATTAACTATAGCCTTACAATATTTAATGAAAAATCCTGACCAAAACACCGTCGCCCATGTTCTAAATTAATGGATATCTTGTAAATGCATTATCTACTTATTAAAAGAAAAATAATATCAAAGCTCACTAGTATCACAAATATAAAGATTTTAATATTAATTTCTAGAACTATATTCTAGAATACGAACCATATTTCTACATGAAACAAATATATACATATATAGAACAATACTGTTCTAAATTCTGCCTATCAGAGAGCCTAGTGCAGGTTTATTTCAAATCGACAGGCTCTGGACGGCGAGCGCGTTTAGCGTTGCGATTGGTGGAGATTTCAGTGCGGGCCAATAGCAGCGCCGAACGTGGCCGCCGTGACCTTCAAGTAGATGTAAAATAAACTCGCACTTGGGTCTCTGGATTTCAGAACGCTCTCAGTCTAAATGAATATCCAAATAGACTTTAAACTACGAGACAAATACTTATGTGATGTTTGTGATAGATCTTAAGGTACATTTTTGCTAATCTCTTCTGAAAAAGCCAATACTCGTCTGTGTAGAGTAAACCTAAATACAATAAGCATACAATTCCATTATACATATAGTGAGATTAAAACAACTCTAGGTCCAATGTTCGTCACCCATACGCCACTTCCTCTACTATAGTTTCCCAAGAATCTGTTGATTGTGTCTCCCAAGATCCTTCATCCTCCTCCATGTCCTCATCCTCATCATAATAAGCCAGCTGAAAATGTTTAAAAAATAATAAACTCACTAAGGGCCACTTGCGTGACATAAGTTCATTTAAGACGTACTAAACGCGTTTAAAATGGTTAAACACAGTTAGCATCTTGCACGATGATAAATTTGTCTCTGAACACTTAAGAAACTGCCCAAGTTAATTACCGAAAATCTGCTATTTAGCGGCGCTAAAGTCCGTGTGGTGACGGATTAAGAATACAGAGTGTCACCACACCTATTCATCCCGTGGGTGTCGTAAGAGGCGACTAAGGGAAGGAAAAAAAGTACGCAGAACAACGGCACTACATGGAGAAGGAAAACTTGACACAAACCCTATACCGACCCGTCTGGCCAGCGTGGTATAGTAGGCCAAAACCTCCTTTCTAAGGAGAGGTCTATGTCCAGCAGTGGACTATTAAAGGCTGTTGATGTGATGATGATGTAATACGAGCAAAACCACAAGTTAATATTGAGTAAAGGACACAACACGTGACACTAATAACGTTAGTTTCCAATGTGCGGTGTCATCAAATTCTAGGGAGTCTTTAATCTTATTAAGTGAGTACGTTACAGATTATCTAGCTGTACCTAGTGTCAATGTGCAAGCACTAATGGGTTTGCTTGTAGTACTAGCTACGTATCACTTGATGCTAAAATAACAGTTCTTATTAACTAAAGCAGTGGTAATCGTATATTTGATAATGCAGCAGTGGTAATACACCTGCATCATGATAAATCAACCATTAGGGAATGAATTTTTCTTCAAATTTGAATGGGACCAAACGGGAAATACACCTATTGGGACAAGGGTTCTGTATTTTAGAGTCTGGGCAACGCCTGTCCCTGAATGAAAAGAATACCTGCTATATCAATCAGGAGCGATACGGCCTTAATCTATGGATACTACAAACAATAATTTAAAATGAAAAATAGTTAGAGACTTAATAAAAAAGGCGTGAGGAGTTTATTTACCCCTGGTCGGAACGAAGTGCCGCGAGAATTGTCGGAAAAAGGTCTTGTTACACATTTTTCGGTCTCGCATCCGCTCAGAGCGTGTAAAGGTAGGGTTGCAGTCGCGCGACGCAGGGGAAAATCACATTAAAATGGCGAAGTTTCCATCGAACGGGAGAACGGGAACTTGAATTGGCAAATAAAAAGTAACTCTTTTCTCGTGATGTGGCAATTGAGTCAATGTTAATTCTTTTTTAGACATAGATAAATTATCATCATCGTCTTCATCCTCCAACAGCTGCTGAATAGTTTTTTTCCTAGTTACGGAAAATTTTTCGTAGATATCGCACTGCAAAAGGGTACAACGCGTCGCGGTCGCGCGTTGCGGTCGCTAGGAACCGAATGCTACCTTAACACGCGATAAGGAACTTCGTTTCAAAAACTGTGGATAGCACGAGATCATATGATAGCAGCCGCCTTGAAACCTATTGATCAGCTTATAGTAGCATTGTTTAACTATAAAAAATACTGATGGTACATCACCTCGTTCTCATGAAGCCTGTGGACCGTATGTACCCTGATCTGGAACATCCAAGCCCTCCCGAGCGCTGCCACAGTACCGCTGAGGAGCAGCGGCATGCTGAAGCGGCACTTCCAGGCCAGCCCCATGAGGAATATGAACAAGCTCTTGCGTCCTGTCATACTTGTGTATACTACCTGCAAATTAACATTAGATAACAGTCGTCAACCCCATTCATACTAGTTTTGTTTAATATTTTACACAGAATATTGTTTAATAAAAATGTCGAACGATGGATGAACAAGATCTAAGCGTACAAGAACGGGCAGCGACTTCACTTTATAATCTAAAGATATTCAATGCATGTCTATGTTTTCCAGTACCAACATTAATAGTAAAATCAAAAAAGCCGTGTGGTGTCGTGGGACACCCGATAGGAACGAAGTTATGACGATCGAGTAAAACTGATTCTACACGATTTTAATTACAACGCCATCTATGAAAGCGGCTATTACCTACATATTTTTCAGTTGGTTTCTAATTAAAACAATTTATACATTTATAGATGGCGCTGAATGACTGACAAGTGACAATTCAAAATAAAAAGTGTTACAACTTTTCGTGAGATTTTTTTTGCGTCTAGCCCCCTTTCACAACGCGCGATAAGGAACTTCGTTCCAAAAACATATTTAATTTATATGCTTCTTAGGAAGTAACTCGGCCCCAATAACTTCACTCACTCGGTGAAAAGCAACGAGAGAAGGTCAACCCATTTGTGCCTAAAACAACTTACTCTTAGAATCTTGGTTTTATGGGTGGATGGATATTCTTTTCACAAACTACGCAACGGTTTTAAAAATTATTTATCCATAGATATAATTATTCAAGAGGAAGGTTTATATGTATAACACATGCATATTATAGTAGAGGAAATACGGGAATATGGAAAATTTGTAATGTGATGTGAAAACATGTTTTTGTGCGCTTACATTGCAAACGCTGGCTAAAATTTATGAGACAGATCAAAATAGTACTACGGAATTGTATATCGCAAAAAGATCAACAGAAAAGTCCGTGATGTCTATCTTCTAAAGATAACCCACAGTTTATCAACAACAACATACAACTTTTTCTTTTACATATTACAAAAAAAAATGGGTTTATTTACGAAACTATTTTAAACAATAAAGTGTTATTACTTATTCAATTAAATATGTAATGTATTTAATGTAGATCAAAATTGCCCTTTACAGCACAACATTAAAATGTTTTTCTTAGAAGAAATCAGAGATTGAAACTGCGGTGGCAGACCGTCGTCGTTCCGTACATTCCGCCCTGGGTGGCAGCGGCCGCCAAGCGCGGCGCGTACATTTTTTTATTGATTTTTTAAAAGACAACTCCCGCATTAGACTTATTTTCTGTGTCGCGGGGTACTTTAAAAACATACAAGAACACCCAGATTCAGAACAACAATTTGTGGATCACACAAAGTGTCGTCCATTGTGGGGATCGGATCGGACACACAACACTCAGGCGTCGCGACCGCTTAAACCACTACGCCATCCGTGCAGTCTAATCCTTTAAATCTATACTACTATTATAAAACTGAAGTGTTTGTTTGTTTGGTTGAACGCGCTAATCTCGAGATCTTCGACGGATAGGTATGGCAAATTGAATCTTGTGACGAAATCAAAGGCAGGGTTGCCTCGTTGTAAATAAAATCACAAACATATTTTTGATTAAGTTGATTAGATTATCTCAAGCATTCGGTAGTACATTAGATTTGATATTAGATTAGTATTATCAGAATTGCTTTCTCAATTGCAATTTTAATTAATTAATTAGACGACATTTATTGATTATTGCTGTAATTAGAAATATATATCTATAGATCGGGTAAATTAGGTTTTTCCCAAGCTATCTTTCGTGCGAAACATTTTTGTACAGTCTGACGTTGACGATGACGGAGAATCTATGCGTTTTAGTGTTGCGACAAAGCATCAAAGCAGGATTAACTAGTACGCAACACTACTATGTGTATTAAGAGTAGACATTATAAAGCTCATGGAATATAAAAAAAATCGGTTACTAATATTTTATAATAATAAAAATAATATTTGAAATGAATGAATTTGAAACTTGACTATTCAGACATGTAAGGGAGAGCAGTCAGGGTTCGAGCAGGAGAACATTCGCATATGTACTTGTATATATTTTTTGGTATCACATTAGAATATATAGCAGTAAGTTTTGTTTTTTTACAACTAGTCACTTACTCACATTCAGGTTTGTTTTGGACACATATTTAGATAAATTAGGTATATTCTATGTCCTTTACAGTATCTTTGGCAAGTTGTACAAAGGTTAAGGCAATCAGATAAACGATAATACAGTCCCTAAAATACAATATGAATATTGATTTTTATATCAAAATTGTGAAAAGAAAGTCATACCTCATACTCGTAGTTTATCGTATCAACGTCTATTTAGAATTAACTTAAACGAGAAGTTTTATTATAAATTAATTCGTTAATTGTATGTATTGGAGTATATTCGTACAGTCATGAGTGTGGTAGGTATACAGCAAAAATGTTTTTATTTTTTTATTCATTTGTCTGATACATGTTATTACTAGAGATGCCACGAATAGTGCTTTGAATAAAGAATATTCGGCGAGTGTCTTGGCCGTAGCGCCGAATATTCGGCAGATGAATTTTCGACAATGCTCAGTATACTCGTAATGATCAGCAACGAAAAAAAATCCTCACCTAACAAAATTTGCTAGGATTTATTTATCATCTTCCGGAAGTGAGCGGCTATTTTCCGAAGCAGGTACCTATAATTTACGAGTAACAGCGCAATCGTTTCCTATCAACAAATGTTGAAAAAATAGTTTTAAGTATTAATATGATAATTTATTGATAAAATAGAAATCTTTGTTAGTAATATTATGCATTCTTTTTTCGTGATTAACTATTCGGTGTTCGGCCGAATACTGAATAGTGGAAAAAAATAGCCGAATACTGAATATTTGCCGAATATTCGTGGCATCTCTAGTTATTACAGCAATTATTAATTTAAGTCACGTTTAGTAAATTATAATTTTTTAGTGACACTGTAAAATAGTGCTCATTCTATATAGTATCACGAAAAAAACAAAATAATGAAATAAACATGACTAAACACAAGCAGAGTAAGATGACGTTATAATGAATTTCGTTGTATGTGTAAAAAATTCGTCAAACCAATCACACTTGTCTGTGTAGTCTGGGAAAAGGTGTTTCTACTTTATAGCCAGTGTTTTATTGAATTGAATACTATTATTATTTTTACTTATAGTTCATACTGTTTAGACCAATAAACATAATGATGGATCAATTTATCTATTCATATCGTTATATGCTACACAGAGGTCATATTCGATATTTTATAAAAAAAACTATATTAGCAATTATGAAAGTCACGACCCTCGATATGAAATTCATATTATTAGAACATTTCAATCGCCTCAAACGTAGGTTTTCAAATTTAGTCAAAATATAATGGGTTACATATTCGTTCTTTAAAGTTTAACGTTGTTTTCGTCATTGTTCTCCTACAGAAACACAATTCATCGTTTGTAATTATTGTCCTAAAAGACTACACAAGTTAAATCAAACAAGCACGTGACAAAATGACAAGCGTTAACGAATCCCCAGTTTAATTCAATCTATCTGTACAAACAGATAGATTATACCCGTTTTGATAATATTTAATACCAGGTAGCTGTGTATACAAGGAGTAACTTAGGCTATTTTTTCTCTCGGTAAACCCCTATAAAATTTTGCCCGGTCCGGAAATCGAACCTGGAGGGTTTTCAAAGCGCAAAGTTAGCGCTTTTCAAAGTCGACGGGAACGAAGGCACCAGCTAGTATTTTTATACCTACAATCTTACGCAATCAAATGTTGTTTGATTATTCAGCCCTCTATCATGATGAGAAAACAATCTACATTATTAGGACTGATTGTGTAATGTTGGTAGGGCAATGATCTTTTGTTGCACAATAATTGTAATAATTTGTTGTAGGTATTGTACACTAAGGCCAGGCGTACAATTCGAGCTTTCCGTCGCCCAGCAAAACGACGCATATATTATTATCGATGGTGGACTGGGAGAAAATGTCCCATGGCATCTAGTTATTGTGCTTTTATTTGTGCATTTAGTTTTAAATAAATAAAAAAAAATCAATACTTTTATATCTAGTTTATGGAAAAAAAACCCTCGATATTAGGCTTTAATGTTAGAAAAAAATTATGATTTACGGTCGAATTTCGACCTTTGGACAAGCACTTGTACCTAAATGGCTTAATTAACTAATTTTTAATGTATCAATAACCAGTTTATAAAAATGTTGATTAATGTGTCTACCACAAATTATTTACAACTTATGCAATAAAAGGTCGTTTGCTTACATTGCACAACCGTTTTTGTTCATGTAAATCGTTATATCATTATTACTGACACTGAATTATAGGTTTGTTTACAGGGGAGCCGTATATTTGTTTATAACCGTCGCCCCCTTCGGCCGCCATCGAAACCGATGGTTCGTAACCAGTTGAGGAACTATTTAAAAAACCACGGTTACGTACAAGGAATTTATTTTTAATAGTTTCGTTCTTTATAGGTTTTTTTTTATCTAATTAGGTAAACACTTTCACGGGACAAACATAAAAGACAGATATTATTAGACATTCACAAATTAATTATTATAACTGGTGAGTATTTCATGAGTTTGTGTACCTATGTCCAGTAATAAGGAGCAATATTTTCTCTATTGCATGTATGTAGGTATACGTCTTCGTAACTGGTAGGTTTCGGAAAACCGTGAGAATAAACAATCCTGACTCGAAACTGGTTTCGTACAAAGATCATTTTTTCCTCCTCCTCAACTGGTTACGAACCATCGGTTTCGATGGCGGCCGGAGGGACGTCGCCCACCAGGGTATCAAAAATATTGTATATCAGTTTCATATTTTATATCAATAGTTTTGATTCGTGTTTATTACATTTGTGACACAGCGACATTTTTTTACATCGCAAGTCGCGTTCTTAGATTTCCGTTTACTGCCATTTTGCATGAATAAATGTCATTATATCCACAATGGTCTACCAGTTGCCTGTATGGTATACGTCCTACAAAATAACGTAGGACTCTAAGTTTAAGGATACAAACTATGCAAAGTTTGAATATAGATAGTATGGTAATAAATAAGGATATCCCAGATTTCAATTAGTATTTTAAATGGGAAAGTATACTACTCACAAAAATGAAGTATTTTTTCTGCTTAAACTAGAATTTATAGCGGAATGAACACTATCTGGTCCATGGGATCGTTTAACTGAATAAAATCCTGAGTTCACAAGAAAATTACGACAAATTTTGAAATCATTTGAGCTATTTTAATTCCTTTTTTTGCTTTTTCCTCGGATTGGAAGAAATCGTGGCCTCTTAAATATCTTGGACAAAAAATCCAAAAACCAGAATAAAAAATAAAATCAATGAAAGGATCAAAGTAACAGCGCGAGGAAAGTTTTTAATATTTTTTGGTACTTAATTTTTGTAAGTAGTGTATTTTCTACACTTAATGGTAAGGCCAAAAGGTAGTTTTAGTATAATGCAAATGGGTGAATAACTAAAAAGAAATCATGAATGTAACTCATATTATCATGAAGTACAACATACAAGGTGAGGGTAACAAAAACAAGTTTAAATTCAAGCATTTATTGTTAATATGAATTGCATTCATAGACTAATCATACATGTTACGTTACGGAATGTTTAAGTACTATATTTATTTATTAATCCACTCTCGATCGTTTGCTGGTCATACTAAAATAAAATAAGATTTAAGCAATGGTCCCACTAGCAGCGAGTAGCGAGAAATCATTTAAGAGAACATTTCATAACTTAGATTAGTTATGGAACTATGTGCTGCTACAGTTGTTCCCTTATGTAAGGCGGGGGTGTCGCCTACTGCTTAGGTAGTATATCGCCCGCAATGAGACCACTGCCTAAATTTGTCTGCCAATATTTACGCACTATGGTTACATTCTGACTGCTACTTTGAACTTAGACTGTAAAACAGCTCCTGGAGATGCCAGAAGTACTGAAATCAATACTAGATCTAGATGTAACAGAAAATTGTGCGTAAAGGTTTATATTTTAAGCATTGGCATTAGTCTAGGAAAAAATACAAAATAAGTAACAATTGAATTGTTCATACAAAAAACATTAACACATCAATATTAATTCTATTTAAAAAAAAAACTTTACTAATGCATAACAAATAACAATTTTATTTTGGAGTTACGTCACCACTTGTTTCTTGCTTGCTTTCTTTTTCTTTAAAAACTAGAATCTACACACCACTAGCACTCTCTAATGGACAAAGAAAGTACAGCTTAGCCAATGGGTCTAAGAACAATTTTGTTTGTTCTTAGTCATTATTATTTTGCACGGGTTGCTATTTACTAACGTTTGGCACAGAGAGGATAAAAGAAAGAACGTTAAATAGCTTATCCTAAGTATTTCCATAGAAGGATATCAATATCCTACGAGTATTTAAGTATTTCTCACACAAAAGGAAATTAGAAGTACAAAATACGTACATACACATTGTTTTTCAAGTATTACCTATTTTACTCGGTGCAAATACAAAAAAAATTATAAGGCAATAAAAGCTTTTGAATCTTATTAAGAAAAAAATTGAAGAAAGTAAAATTGCAATGACGATATTGTAAAACTTAAAGAAAATTCTAGAAAAACTAGATTTAAAGACATTTAGTGGTGACCACCTAAACCTCTTTTTATCAGGAACCAACACTCAATGCTAATTTTATTTATGACCAGCAATATAAATTAATTAATTACTTGTACAGATATACACACATACATACAACAATTATACATTTAAACATTCTAATTTTGATTTATCATAGGCCATATTTCGAGTAGTTTTAGATCCATTGAGCAGTTTCGAGTTCCGAAACCTTCTACTAACTATGAGTTATTTATGAATTTAAATTATAATATAAGTTTTAACAAGATTTTCTTGTTTTTTTTTAAGGAAATACATCTGTCCTTTTCCTTCTTTCCCATTTATATCATTGTGATATAAACATTTGTAAAAAGAATTACAATATAAAGTAATCAAAAAATGATAATAGTAATCAAATAATGTAAATTGCTATTATCTTCATCACTAAACCAGTTTAAATTACCTACTCATGTAGGTAATAAATTAAGTTTAAATATTTAGCAGATTTTATCAACAATTTATACCAATATGTAAAATATTCCAAATCAACAAATACTGACCTCAGCACTTTATATACCTAGATAGTGACATAGATAATTTTATGGCAACATGGCGGCCGGCGTTTTCACTAATTTAAGCGCGGGAATTTAGTTTTTGTTGTTTACAAAGATTATGATCAAATTAAAATGCTTTGTAAAAATGTATTGGTATTTTAAACCTAAACAAATTAAAACTGCTCTTCTATTTTTAAACCATAGAGATAAACATCTAATACCATAAAAAAACAGAAGATAGAAAAAAAATGCCTTATTAGATTTATAATTTCATTAAGTATCTACTTCATGTAAAGATAACATTAGAGGTTCAGAAATTTCAACAACACACACTGACTAATCACATTTAGTTTAGCAAATTTTGAGTAAGAAAGCTACTAACATTTTTAAGTCTGCTACTCAGAATCAAAATAGTCAACATGGTCTCCAGGACCAAATTTGCCCTGCTGCAGGACTGTCAGACATTTTTTAGCTGTTACCTCAGGTTTCAGTAAAGTCCCTTGCATTTTAAATGAAAGAAACACATCCCTTAAATTAGTGTTAACCGTTTCAGCCAACACATAATCAATCATAGATGTTTCTACTGGCCCTGGAGAGTAATTTAGCACTTTGATGTGCTTTTTCTCTTCAGCAAGTACCTTGAAGTACATTTCCCTTGCAGCTTTGCCAGTACAATAACTAGCCATGCCGCTCATAGCCTTGATAGCACATAATGATGTAATGTTAACAATAACAATTCTTTCTTCAACCTCCTTAAAAACCTTGAGAAACTGAGTATTAAGTTTAATAACATTAAATACATTCAGATCATAGTACTGTCTCATTTCATCGACATCCTCCATACGTTCAGTTGGTACGGCTAAGTTACCAAGAGAACCAACATTGTGGAAAATCATGGCTGTTGCAAAATCTGTCACTTTACGGCCTTTTAGAGCACGGGAAATGACATCAAACATGTCTTTTGCAGATGCTTTAGACAGGTCCATAGACTCATAAACGGTTGTCACATTATCTTGTTTACATTGGTCAGCTGTTTTTGCTAGTTCATCTTTGCTGCGTGCCAGTAGTAACATAAGGGATTTTGGACCAAGGACTTTAGATAACTCAATAGAAATTGCTCTCCCAATACCTTGGGAAGCCCCTGTAAGTACAACAAAGGTAGGCCCTGAGAGGTCAATATGAGAGGATGATGATGAGGCCATGATTACTTACAAAATAGTCTTATAGTAAATGAAGTTATTCTTGCTCGTCCTGAAGCAGCTTTTCGTCTTCAGTATCACCTATCACAGGATCTAAGTCGCAGCCTTCTCTCATCAACCGGTCAATGCAATCCGCACGATATGCTGCGAGATTCTCAACGACCTTGTTCTTCTTTCTGATTGCCTTGAGTTTGCGTTCTGTAAGCAACAAACAATAATATTCTTCAGTGAAAGGTAGTATTAAATAAGAATAATGTAATTCGTTAATAAAGTTATTACAAACCAAAGGCAGTCTACTTCGCGGAAGCCGTTTCTAGAATACGTGCGGCGAACAGTGAATGTCCAAGCAAATCGCTAAACACATTTCGTAATTCACACAGGTCACGTGGCTAAACAATCACTGACAGCTACTTATCAAGTCATTAAAAAACTATAATTGGGAGATAACAATTATATAAATTAATTACCTAAAACAGCGAGATATTGTTCCGAATCAGAAAGTTTCTCGTATTCTAACGTTGGTTGGAAGTTATCTTCGAATTCTGGGACAGAATCAGAATGTTGAACTTCACTGCCCCAAGGATCCATCAAACTCTGTAAACGAACACAAAAGAGTAATAAACAACGGAAGTTACACCCAGAGTATTATTCATTTTTTTACACTAGAATTTTATCTCTAAAGAGAGCAAATGACAATTGGGTTCAATAAATTTTGCTTAAATATAGACAATTTATTATACTAACACAAACAGAGGCTGAACGCCTGATATTTTACAGAATAATGGTAGAAAAGGATTTCGTGAAAATCATTAAGCTTTTAGAAAAAAACGACAGAAGCAGAACTACGAAAACAGGCGATACAAATCAATGGCATGACAATTGCGATCGCGTTCCGTTTTATGTATCAGAAACACCTTTATCGAGGTTTTAAAATCATGACACGAAATAAAATTTGTAGTAACTGGTACAGTTATTAAATTAACAAATATATAAAATTAATACAATTTAGCTATTAATGTCTACGATTTATTAGAATCAGTGATAGTGGTGTGATAGTGGACAGATATTCGTATCCATAATCGTATCCGCGCATTTCCAGGGGGAAAAAGTCTGTCCATTTCCATTATTATATAAATAATATTATCTGTTACGGTACGTTTTTGGTGGATCTTTTAGAATGCTTAAATTAAATGTTCAACAATTTATAAAAATGTGATAAGTATTAATATTATTAACAAATGTAAGGTGCTGTTCATTTTAGTATTTGATATGCGTATTTAAATTGTTATTTTGAAAAAGACACACTGTACTGGTGGAAATATAGGTCGTCTAATTTAGTCCAGATTGAGACATTGTTTGTTTTATAATCATTATGAGCAATAAGTTTATATCAAATGCAATGATTTTGTTCACTGATAACACCAACGGTTTTATACCGACATTTCCGGACTAAACCAATATTCTTAGCACACATAAACCATAGTTCACTAACTTTTACTTCACAGTGTGTTATAAATTCTTACATCATTTATTTTTGTATTTCTGCAAATATTCAACAAAAAAATCAAATAAAAACAAGTCATTTAGCGTCATCGCGACATCTAGCAAAGGCTATGGAAACTAATTTTCCTCCTCAGTGATGTGTTTAAAATGTTATTGCCTTGAATGTGGTTTCTTATTAAGTGTACTAGATGTCTCTGTAAAATGTTATGTACAAGCAACTTATTTCAGTTTTAATAAATACGTATATCGTAAAGTTACTAATCAGAAGAGTCATTAAGTTATTACTCAATATACCAAAAGGCGACATTTCGAAGTGCCTCAAATTTACTATAGGTCTATGTGCGCATTTCATGTCATTTCATTTTCATGTAAAATGTTGCCAAGTCGAGAGAATAGAAATATAATATAACAGAACAGTACTAAACAGTGAATAAATTTTTCCCTTTCGTTCATGTGACAGTGCACAGTGGCGAAATAAATTTTAACCGCGAAGCTCCATATTTTGACTAAGGTGTAGAGTTTGTAAAGTTAGGGCTTGTAGAGTTAAGGCGTGTAGAGTTTGAAGCTACACTTTCTCTACTATATGTTCTCTATCATGTCTTTAAGACAGATCCCGGCAAAATAAATGTGTGTTACAGATTCTATTCTTCAGCCCCTCTTTCCCACTGGGCACTCTGGGCACGTGCCCAGGGCCCCTCAATCGATAGGGACCCGATTCCTGCCAGATCACCAATCAATATTTATCACCGAAAAACATAATTATTTCAAAAAATCCATTTGTAATGACTGACTACAATACTTTTTTTATCCATTCTAACAAAAAAGTGCTCAGCTAATTTCGTAGGGGCCCCATTAAACTAATTTGCCCAGGGCCTCCAACGGGCTAGAGACGGGCCTGTTCTTCAGAACGATACTATATGGACTGCAGAAAAAATCTATTTGAAGAGCGACCTCACATCACTCCATGTGGTGGATCAGAAAACGATTCGCACAAGAAAACCTCGGATGACCCCTTCAAGTCATTAGTTTCACGACTTTTTACATAAAACAACATAAAAAAGAAAGAAAAATATTTATTTTGGCAGCATTAAAAAAAATATGCAAAAAATACGTCAATGCGTAAAACGGACTCAATTCGTTTACATCTTCTTCATCATACTCATCATCTGCAAATATCTATAACACAATACACACCACACTTACATTGTAAACATGTAATCCTGCTTCGTCTTCGTGACCTAATTTTTCCAAAAAGAAACTGCATATGCAAAAAAACTGTAATCCTTGCAGAGGACTTTAATAATCTGTGTGAGAAGTTGTCATATTGAAAAAAAGAACAGTTTATTATTGGATTTCTTTTAGATAGTATTCAACTGCAAAAAAAAACAACCCTAATAAGAAAATCAGATTGTCCAGCAAAATTGATATTATTATTTTAGCAACAATTTGAGTTCGTGACGCATTACTTGAAAAGCGGAACTTTTTAATACCCGACGGAAAAAGAGGGGTGTTTTAAGTTTAACCTGTGTATTTGTGTATCTGTCTGTCTGTGGCATCATACTCGTAGCTCCTGAATGGATACACCAATTGTGACGCGGATTCTTTGTTCGAAAGCCGATGTGATCGAGATGGTTCTTAGGTACAAATTTTGAAGATCATGAGCTTACTTCCTAGGTGATGAAAGGATCACACTAAAATCCACAGGTCCGGTTGATCTGAAATTTGGTATACTTGTTCTTTAATAGTATTTCCACGACATGGTAACCTGGAACTTGTTGCTGCATCAAGTAGTCTACGGGATAGCCAACTCCTCAGAAAATTACAGCATATATACCATGTTTGGGCTTATTAAAACAGTCTCAATGAGCAGTTGTATTTTTTTAATTATGCTATAATTTATAACCTAAATTAACCTACTATTCTGGTCACAGCTCGTTTCTGATACCGATTCGTTTTCTTGTGTGGTCGCAGTTCTAACGTAACCTACTTTTCTGGAAGAAACACGTTTCTGACGGGGTCGCCTTAAACCTTAAAAAATAGGTATTGGCCTACTATACCAGTTGGGCAGACAAGTTGCAAAAATAGTTATTAGAGTAATGCGTTTGTATGATGTGCAATCGGTAAAATTTATATAAAAATAAATATATTTTCGTACACTGGACAACTTTTTTGTTGCGCATCAGAGGAAAAATTATAATATAATGGGTTGATTCATATTTTCGGATTATTATTAGTACTAGTTTTGTAAAAGATGAGATTTGTTTGCATTACAATAATTATATTGAATACTAGCTGACCCGGCAAACGTTGTATTGCAAAACAAAAAAAAATTGGGATCGGTCACCCTTACCATTTAGGGGTATGAAAAATAGATGTTGGCCGATTCTCAGACCTACCCCATGTGCACACAAAATTTCATGAGAATCGGTCAATCGGTCAAGCCGTTTCGGAGGAGTACGGGAACGAACATTGTGACACGAGAATTTTATATATAAGACTAGCTGACCCGGCAAACGTTGTATTGCAAAACAAAAAAAAATTAGGGATGGGTAACCCTTACCATTTAGGGTTATGAAAAATAGATGTTGGCCGATTCTCAGACCTACCCCATGTGCACACAAAATTTCATGAGAATCGGTCAAGCCGTTTCGGAGGAGTACGGGAACGAACATTGTGACACGAGAATTTTATATATAAGATAAAATATATCCATCTATTTTTAAGTTAATATTTTAAGTGAATAGAAATATATCAAAAATGTAATGAAACTATGTAATGAATTGTTTTTGTATGTAAGTAGATTTTTTGCATTGTCAAATAAGTAACCTTTCGTACTGTATATGATATGTATGCGCATAATTACGTTACAAAAGCGTTTAAAAATACTTTATGTATATTTTACTAGTGATTTCCTTGATAGACTTCCTAAATAGATGTCTCCACGTGTTGCTTTTATCAAGTACTTGTACGGTTTACGTTTCAAATGTTCATTATTACATGTCAGTTTTTTAATTTAATGTCTGTCAATTTCATTATACATATTCTGTGTCAACATTCTTCATTATCATCATCAACAGCCTTTAATAGTCCACTGCACTATTACTGCACTTAGTATTATTACTGCACCAGAGTCTTGTTCGCACAGATACAATTATTTTCCTCATTATAACATGGAAACCATTTATCCTAGCGTCTGCAAACATACCAGACGCACTATAACACCATGGTAGCTTCATAAGTGGCCGAAATGGTTTATTGTATTGAACTCTGACGGTGTTGAGTGCTCGCCTGGTATAGTTGACCCAGAGGCTACAGGCTAAAAAGATTGACAATATGCATGGAACAGAGTTTTCTTGACCTCAACAGTACATCGGCTGAACCGACGACTGAGGATGTTTGCCCTTATTACACGTCATCATTTAAATTAGGAGTTATGTGGTGTCCAAGATAAACAAATGTATCTACTGTCTTTAGCGCTGTACTATTCGAATAAAGAGGAGGCACGTAAACGATGTATTGCGGGTTTTTAAGACCAGCAGTTCAGTCTTTTTGTCATTATAAAACAGTCCATGTTCTCTAGCATATTCCTCACGTGTCGCTAACAGTCTTTTCATACATTTGATTGTTGGACACAAGAAGACCATACCATCAGCGTAGATAATGTTGATAATATATTCATCACCTACATGACAGCCAATACCGGTCCTCGTGAGTTCAACAATCAGATCTTTAATATAAAAGTTAAATAATACACAGCCGAAGTTATTCCACCTGGCCTAACACCACATTCTACCATGTATGGGTCTGATATACTATTACCGTGTGCTATTATACGTGTGGGCGGGCGTTTGAACAAAACGAACTTAGCTGTTGGAATGAAAAATCCCGCAATTATTCCTACCCAGTTATTAATAAATCAAACTAATGGCGTGAAAACTTTTTCTTAGCCTATGAGGAACCCATATGAGGCGAAAGAGACAACAGCTGTTTCTGCGTCATCGAAATACATTGCTGTGAACTTAGAGGAGAACGTCAAATTTAATGAAAAGGAGTTAAATTACTACGTTCAACGGCACAGGGATAATTTCATCTGCATCTTGAACCTACCTGTTATCAACTACACCAAGACTAATAAATCGTGTGATGCCAAACTATTAGGACATTAATCGGCTATGCCCTGTATCACAAAGAAAACGGAATGCGACACAACCTGGGTTGAATTACACAACACCAATACGTGGTTGGTGACGTGTTGCGACTCGTGCAACATACGTACTGTGTGCGAAGGTGACATCAGAAGGCACGTCATCCATACATCATCTATTGTGTCTTTGAAACATGGATATCTTCTCCAAACAAGAGACCTAAAAATACACTCTCATAACCGCTATTACAGCAACGTAAAGCTCGATTACGTCATTCAAATTTCTTCTCTGGATAGAACTTTAGATTCTGATAATATTTAACTAACAGGTAGCTGTCTACATAACGAGTAACTTAGGTTATTATTTCCCTAAGAAAAATTATATATATAAAATTTTGCCCGGCCCAGGAATCGAACCCACTAAGGCAGCGCTTTTCGAATTCCACTCAAACGAAGTCGCGAGCACCTGATAGTATACATCACATCATCATCACATCAACAGCCTTTACTAGTCCACTGCTGGACATAGGCCTCTTCTTAGAAAGGAGGTTTTGGCTTACTATACATCGCTGGCCAGACGGGTTGGTATAGGGTTTGTTTCAAGTTTCCTTCTCTCTGCAGTGTTATTGTCCTGCATAGTTTGCTCCCTTAGTCGGCTCTTACGACACCCACGGGATGAATAAGGGTGGTGACACTGTATTCTTAATCCGTCACCACACGGACAGTATACAATATACATAATTCAGTACATCATAGTCTACCTATTAGGCCATCCTATTACCTGTCAGACTATCTGTGACCATGTAACATAATTAGGTAGTAACAAT